GGATGGGAGAGCGGAACATGAGCCAGAGTGCTGGGGAAGAAGCAGATCCTCTTTTTCAGCTTGTTTTTGCCAGTCTGGCACCATTATTTATCGATGATGCAAAAATTAAAATGTTCCACCATTCAAAGCAATACACGTTCCCAGGATGAACCTCTGCCCCAAGACAGAATAGGGATGCCTACTTTGCTCCCAACACAGTTAACACAGTTTCTCTGGCACTGGATATTATCTGTTAGATTTACTTCCAGGTTATTAAGATCTTTTCCTTTAGAAGACCATGGCTAAACAACACCGACAAAAGCTTTTCCCAGCTGTTTGCTAGGCTGCTGCTCCACTTCAAATCAGGTGGGATTTTCTTGAGGAAGAAGAGTGAGCATGCCTGGGAAAAAGAAACTTTCAGAGTGCAGGGCAGGCACAGGGAAGGTGAGCAAGCAAACAGCAAGCCCACCAGAGACTGGGAGACTGCTGATGAGAGCAGCAAGCAGACACACAGCATGCCTCTGGGGCGACGGTCACAGGCCTTTCCCGCAGTGAAAGAGAAGACTGAGTTTGCTGCAAGAGAGGAAAAAAAAGAAAATCACTGAAAGGTTAAGAAAGCAAGCCTTCCTCACTGTAAGGACACAACAGAGATTTTTTCATAAAGCCTTTTATTTCTGGTCTCTAGAATAAAATAAGAGTTGTCTATTTTAAGTAGCTACAGTTTTACTTGTTCTAATTAAACCCGGCCTCCCAGTTTAAAAGTTTTCTTCCTCTCTCTAGGAGGTGCACAGCAAGACACACCTAAGCATCCCCCAGTCATTGTTTTCCTCTCTTCTGATCAAAATCTGTTGATAAAGAAACCCAAAGGACATAAAAAGAAACAGAGAAACAAGGAAGAACAAAACAGAAAATTTGAGATGTAGTTTAATAAGAGATCAAGAAAAAAAATGCAAGAGAAGATGTGCCACTCCAATTCTAAGTCAAGAGAACCAAGGAGAAATCATTTTTCTTCACTTCCGAAAAGTAACATTCTCTCAACTCCATCTGCTGGTCATAAGGATAACTGTGACACCAAGCTGGTGCCTGGAAGCCAAACTTCACCCATTGCACTCCTAACCCATGTAGAAATACTAGATTTACTGGAATGTCCACAAAGAAACGATCCATCATCACCCTTGGACTATGTAGCACTGTGGACACCGCAAAGCTTCAGCAAGTTTGATGGAAAAGTCTAACATGGTTCCCCCCACTGACAGCACATCCCAGAGTCTGGGTACTCCAAAAACAAGAGGCTCCCAGCTTCTGTACAGGCTGCACACTGCGTCCAGTGCCAAAGTGCAAAGCATGGCTCACTTCCACGGTCCAGAGCTTCTGCATGATCTCACTGCAGCAGAGCACTGCCAATGCTGCATCAAACAATTTAAGTGACACAGAATCTCAGTAGTGTGTCACCAAAACTTCCAACAACGTCAGAAGCAAGATCATTCTTTTGGAAACAAGTCATTCACTCAAGATTTCAAGCTGCCCATTCTGTAAGGAAAATGGATTGTATTCTGTAGCAGCCACACAAAGCAGTAACTAATACTTTGTTCAGATCCACAGTTAAAACAAAACAAAAATCAATCCATCCATCTGGCACTGAAAATTAATACCTTAATGCTGACCTTTTAATCATTTTAGTACCATAAGGTTTGTTACTCCTTTCCTAATTAAAGAGATTAATCCAAATGTGCTTCTCAGGGTCTAGTGTAAGGTCATGCTTGGAACAAGGGCTGGAAGATGCAATGAACTAACGCTTCTGAGAACCACTTCATTTGGGAGGCGAGGGGGAAGAGAGAGTGTGTTGTCCTTAGGAGAGTGGTAGCCTGGATGTGGATTTAAAAAAATCCACTGCTGCAGCAGAGGTTGATCCTGGATCCCAGCGTGAGTGTTACGCCTGGCAGTGGGAAAGCCAGGGACAGCGGTGCCACATTTAGCATTTGAGACAGGGGCACCACACATGATGCTTAGAATAATGTGCGTTAAGAAACACACTTATCTTTTGCCTTATTTTTTGCAGCAAGTACATAAGGTTACAGAGAAAGGCAAAAGGCTGAAAGGATTATTTAAAAAATGCCTTGCTTTTCAGGACCAAGGGGTCTTAAGACAAGAGCTGCACCCTTCTATTTCCTCTTATTCAGATATTCTTAGTGGTAACCAAGGTGTTTAAAGTCATGCTGGAATCTGGTTTGCTGCCTCAGACATGCCACTTATAACTAATGTTTTCATTCACATGGGTTTGTGTCTCACATGGAATAATACTTTCAGGGCCCTTTAAGATAAGGATAGTACAGAGGGCTGGTTTGAGAAGACACGGGGTTCCAATCATCTCACAAAAAACCCTGGAGGCCTGTAAGAGACCTTGTCACAATTCTTTTAAAGAGATGCAGTTGGCCTTTTGCTTGCTGTAGTTGATGGAGTCTGAACTGATCCTCCACAGGTTCATTTTTTTGCAGTCGGTGATTGGTAACATAACGCTACACCCTTTTCCACCTCACTCCTGCCTCCTTCAGGAAACAGGACAGACGTCTCCAGCAGACCATGCAGAAGGCCAAATATATTAAATTAAACCAACCAACCCCTTTGGGGTCCTAAAGCATCACGGGACATAGCAAATGGCAAAGGGATTGCAGCAGGAAAGCTTGGCGCAACAGTTCAAACACTGCAACTCTGCTCTGGGGAGCTGCCTCTGTCACAAGCGACTTTTCACAAGTGCTGTTTGGGTCATATTTTAGTTGCCCAATGTGAGAGACAGACATCACTTCCATGAGTTATGGGAGCACAGATCTGACAGACATAAATGTTACTTCACCCTTAGATAATGTCTTAACATACAAAATGAGGAAGGCTTTAGCAAGCCAGAGCCTACAAACCTCAAGTTCAGAGTCAGCAGATTCTTCCAGTCTTACTCTCTCTGTGCTTCTCAGCCTCAGGTTTAGAACTGGGGCAACACATCTCTATCTCAGAGAGACACTGTGAAAATTAACTAATCCAAAATATATGCCTGCTCCTGTGATGACTGCCACAGAAAAGACCATTTGGAAAAGACTAGTTAAGTGAAATACATTACTGCATACAGTCAACAAGACCCACAGCTCCACACTGAGCAGCAAACCCACAACAAAACATTGGCTATATGCTCTTTCCGAGGGCACCGTTCATATTGCACGCTGCCTAAAGCAAAGTCCCCGTGGAAGGAATAGCATATGGCCATGTACGTACTATCACCAAATAATTACACTGCCTTACCCACTGCTGCCAAGTAAAGGTTAAAATTTAACAAGTCTGACATTTCCTTTTAAATTCTTGGCTTTGCAATAAAAATGTTTAGATGGAAACTTCACTTTTTAAAGATGAAAGTTCCACCCCCATCAGGACCACAATCAGACTCTAACCACCACATGACCTGTAAGCAGGAATGAGACCTTTTGGCTGAACAGCACAGACATCTATCGGCTGAAATGGCTATTACTCTCTACATTGGCTTGAGGGAACAAAAGATATATTGGACATACGAAGCTTTTGACACCTGAGAAACAAAGAAAGACGGTTTTGATTGTCCTCTCAGAAGATAACTGTTTTTTTTTAAAGAAACTGCAATTGATAGTACTGGGAAAGTAAGTTTTCCTTACTTTCCTGTCTCTTGAACAAGATGTGAGAAAGGAAACAAAGTTTTTTCTTTTACTTCCTCCCCCAACACTAGACAAGCCTTGATGTCAAATGCCTTTTTTACACCACCTGAATACCTGCCATTACATCCTAGTAAGCGAGCACATTAAGATTTAGGCTTCCCAAAACGCGACATTTAAATGAGCACAAAATTAGGCTTCGGAATCATCCAGTCCCTGAGATGAACACAGCACTTTGGGCAGATCTGAAGGTTCTCTGCAGAATCAAGGCAATAATTCATCTTCCTCACACCTGATCCAAACTCGAAGTATTTTAAAAAAACAAAATTAGAATAGTCACACAGCAAACGGTCTTTTACAAATATTCTGCATTAGTGCAAGTGGTATTCTGAACACGGTCTTAATCCTAGTCACCAGCTCCCTTCCATATAGTCATAAGCAGTAAATTACAGATGTTATTAAACAAAGATTTCGCGGTGTAACTAAAGGAAAATTAGGAAGTGATCCTCTAAAATCAGGAGAAAGAGGAAGTTTATTACATCCTGTTCCCTCTCCTATACAGCCTTATTAGTGACAGGGAGGTAGCAAACTCACTGATGGAAGGACAAGCATCGCTTGTGCCAAAAAATAGCTGGTTTTCTAGTTAATTTTAAAAACAAGCAATTTGCATCTTATGGAAGGTTTTACAAGTTTCTATAGTAACTGCTATCATGTATAAGAATATAAAGTGCAACAAGCTGGAGTTTCCATAGAAACGACACAAGCAGTTTGATTAATACGCAGACATACTGAGACAAACGGGAATATTTAATTTCACTTTATAAAGAAAACTCTAGTAAACAGAATACTACAAACTTCGGCAAGGTATCCTAATAAGAACTATTCTCATAAGCTTGTGAGCTGCAAGCCATGCACAGTAAAAACTGAGAAGCATGTGGTGTGTTTACCACATTAGATTCAAAGAATATGAAAGGTACTATTTAGTTTCAGGAAGCTGATAATGTATCCAACACATCCTAATTGATTTAGGAATTTAAACCTACAAACAGTGCTTACAGAGAAGACAATTTCAGCTGGTTTGGAACTAAATGTACCAGGCAAAACGAAAGGATGTAGTGTAATTCTTGTAACAAAACTCTGTGACTGCTTAGCAAGTTAAATTACTGCATAAAAACGTACACAAACTTTCTACATGCGCTGCAAGAGTGGCAGTGAGGAACCATGGGGCAGCCCTGACATTTAAGTGACCACGGAGAAGGAGTCCAGTAATGTTGCAGCAGCCGTATCACACAAGAATGTCAAAGGCACCGTCGTGACATAACGCATAAGGGGAAACAGGCAGGTACAACTCACCATATTTGGCACACTGGTGACGGGAGTACTCTTGATGTCGGCAGGAAAGGGAGACAAACTATTCGCCATGCCTGGCTTGTTTGGTAACTGGGGATTCACTCCTGTAGCTCCCATCTGCTGCCCTCCAGTTTGACTGAAAGGCTGCCCAAAGGGACTAGTGTTACCTGCCATTCCCATCTGGAAAAGAATGAATGAAATTATTATTATTTCCTTGATTCTGAAGGGACATTAAAAAAAAAATAAAACATATGTCAGATATCCATCTTTGTATTCACACAGACCAAATTCCGGTTTAAGTTGCTCAATATCAAATTCTCAACTTTAATAAAATTTAAATTAAGTTTTTAAAAAAATATTTTACAAATTTACAAAGCTGTGTGTATCTGAAGTCATGTAATTCAACTTACAAAATCATTGTGCAAATGTGAAGGAGAAAACAAGATTATCCTTCCCAATCTACATTGACAGAAATTACTTTTTCCAACACTGCAAAAACTTTTGAAAACGAAATAAACCTCAAATCCTGTAACATTTTGTGAATTCTGTGCACAAAACACGACTTTGTACATATACTAGATGGGAAGGGAGAGGAATATATAGAGGCATCTAGCACATGCTTATCTACTTATGTTCTGGTACTTGACAAAAAAACCTCTGAGCAAAAGGACATCTATCTGAAGCTGACATCCTTGACAAATAACACCTCCAAACCTCCTTCAGAGCAGCAAGCAGAAATACAACCCCCCTGAATGAATAAAGAGAACGCTGTCCATCCAAAGAGCTGTTTCGCCTGAAGAACAGACTCCTAAGAGAAGTGGTGAAATCTCTATTACTTGAGTCAGTTAATACTACAGAAGGTCCTGAAAAGACATTTACCTCTTTTAAAGATGATGACTAAGACTGGGACCCTCCTTCCCCCTCCAAATAAAGAGGAACTAGAAGTGGACAGATCGTGTTTGTGCTCCCCCTTGCCCTGCACTGGGAAGATTTCCAGACGACTTTATCACCTGTCAGAACGTCTTAAATAAAATTCAACCACTGAGTGAGTCTTTATCTGAAATAATAAACCCTGTTTTCCCCTTCCTTTGACTCCTCCAGCCCTTCCTTACATGACACACTAGTTTTCCGTGGTCCTGGTCTTTTCACTTCCCTTGCCAGCAGGGATTCAGGAGGACTGTTCCCGTCTCTGTAAGAGGGATCGTGCACATCAGCTTGTTAGTGCAGCAGCCTCATAATAAGGAATTGCTCAGTGGTTGCTTTTTCATGCTTATAGGAATCAGACTGAACGACCAGTTGATGAACCACTGGTTAAGGGCAGTAAATTTTGTCGGGACAGAGTCCAATAAACACAATTTGACTGTGCCTTGTCCTCTTTGTCAGTGCACTTTGTACGCTTGGGTTTCCGACAGCTAGCCCAACCACGCTCAAAGTGGCTTTACATTAGGAAATACTCCCTTAACCTGTATCCTGCAGAGCGACTGTTGCCAGATTCAGGCCTTTTTCCACTGCACAAAATGTTGTATCTTTATAGAACAATCTGACCCACGATATACACGTTAAAAAAAAAAAAGCTGGTACTTGGCAATGTAAGGGGTTATCATGTATATGCTGAGTTCCAGACTGAAGTTGAATAATTCAAATAGCACGTAAGACCAAAAAACCCCAATTGCTTAACAGCATCAAAAGCTCAGTAATAAAGACCGCTTTTAAAGAAAAGTGGTATTAGCTACTGTCACATTGCACAAATACCAAGAATTTTATTTTCTGTATTTTTGTGTTTGTTTTGTAGGACTGTAGGTTCAAAGAAATAAGGTTTTTTAACTTACCCATTCATCTTAACCCACTATTTTGGACAAGGTATGAGAAAACAATCACGTGGTACCTACAGATATTCATTAATACTGTGATGGTCTATCAGATTAACAGTGAAGAAAATTTCCATAAACTAAAAGGGAGATTCTGAGAAAGTAGCTTACGACTGACTATTTAAACCTTTCAGAGGCCAGAAACGGGAACGCTAGCTCTTTGGCTGTTACTCGGTTTCCCCTTGTGTCTAAATCCCCAACTACAAATCCGTTTGTCTGCAGAAGGTCTTGGCCCTTCCAGTCTTCCTTGAACTCGCTTGCAGGTTTGGTGAAGCTTTTTAAATTGAATAACGTATTGACTATTCTGGCAACCACCGTTATACCACAACTCCTACGAGCCCCTACACCCCTGCAAAGCACAGTGGTGAGCCCGAATGGGGGGGGAGAACTGCTGCATACACATGAACCCACTTTCACAACATCCCTGGCCCTGTGTGGGCCACAGCAGGAGACAGTGCAAGTGAAGTCGTCCCCAGCCCGTGCAGCTTCAGGCTGGAGCCCCTCAGCCACCGGGGAGGAGATGGCAAAGGCTCGGTGCAGACAGTGAAGTTGCCTAAGATGTATGTGCTGAGCTTGTGCAGCGTAATGTTATCAGCCCCTGGCAGAATTTTAAACACAGCTGAATTTTCAAAAGCAGAAAAGATTTTTTTTTTTTTTAGGCAGTGAGAATGCTAAGCAAATTTTACAAGATATGTAAGTTCTTGCTCCAAGAGAGGTGTTGTTCATCTCATTTCATTATCAGGAAAGAGTAACTTCTTTTTATGAAAGGAGAAATTCTTTAAAAATAGATTTTTAGGAGAAATACTACAAATATTTTGGTCTCAAAATACAAAGAACAGAAATTTTCGTTTTAAGTTTGTTAAAATTCTTTATCGCTAGAACATCCGAGAAGCACCAAGAAACTGCAATCCTAACAGGTACCACATGGTTGGTTTATCATATCTTAATATTTCCTTTTCAATAGATCTTGTTATTAAACATATCACAACTCAGTGCAACAACAAAGCAACCTTTCAAATCTTCCAAACTGAGTGCTAAATATGATGAGGGTAATTCTTCCTTTTCTAGGGGGTCATAGGTACTTGACTGCAATTTTAGGAAATGCCTTGCTGTTCTTTAAAATCAAGCTGGAAGCAGAGTAGCCTCCTCCTGAAACTTTGTATTTTTCTAAACCTACTCTCTGCCACACGGTATTTCAGCGTATAAAGCTGTGCTTCCCTAAGGGAAAGGAACCTAAGGCTAAAGAGTTACGCCTGTCTACAACTTTAAAAAAACCAACCCCAGCAGATAGTATGATAACATTGTAGAACATTAGACACACCCCTTAACCTACACTTCATTTTTGTAAGTTACTGGCACCGAAACAAACTGACTTTTATTGTTTGAAGTCCATCTTAAAAATAATCTGCAAAGGTGGAAAGACCCATCTTTCTTATGTGGCAATGCCTTAAGTAAACACGGAGACAAAAATCAGGAGGGACTATACACAAGACGAGTTTGTAGTTTCAGGGTTTTTTTAAAACTCAGTTTTGCCTCAGAGGAGTTAATCTTATTAACATGACTGATTTCCAGAGACCAGAAGAGCACAACACAATGCAAGAACTGCTCTAATGAACTCTTATCTATTTATAACAGTCTTCAACCAAGTCTGGGATCGACAAGGAGTTTTAGTGGCAAAATAATCTGCTGCCAAACAGCATTCAGACCAACAGCGTTTCAGAGCTGTTACTGGTAACCTAAGGAGCAGCTCGGCATTTATTCCAGCAGCGATCACCTCCAACAAATGCAGTCAGGTAGGGACTCCAGCAAAGCCAACACTGTCAGCTCCTCACTGGCGAGAGGGCCACAAATAGGAAGTGGAAGGAAAGGAAGAATCAGGCAGATCCCCTGCATATCAAATACTGAAAGATATCTGAGTGCATAAGGCATTAACTGGCATTTCCTGGTTAATTATCTGAAAATCGACATCAAGTGACCTTCTGTGGAACTTTATCTAAACCACTGCTAATTGAAATCTCAAAAAAGTAACTGGTAAATATAATCAGATGATTGAGCCTGTATGTAGTAAAGATTTTTACACTGCTTATTCATTCTGCAAACTGAAACCGGCAGCTCCGAAGCAAACAAGTCAGAAGGCTCAAACACTACAGCTCCTTCCTCTGCCCCCAGGTTTTTTCCTATGTGAAATGAGGGGGCAGGTGAGGAAGGCAGATACTCAGAAGACCTTTGCTTTTATGTAATGAAACAGAACTCTGATCCCAAATTAGGTAGTTCAGGGGAAGATTACTACTAATTACAAGTCATCAAAGAAGATAAACTAGCAAGAACATGGAAGTTAGCAACCTGGTAAGAACGGCTGTTTTCATGCGAGACTCTGAGCCATCAAAGAATGTATTTTGCCTAAAGTTTGTTAAATTTACTTCCCTGAAAGGAACGAAAGCAAAAAAGCAATCCAGTGCAAATTGCTTCTTTTTCCACCTGCAACAAATGAGCACGGATGTGCATCATGGGGCTACTCAAGCATCAATACATCAGCATAACAGCCGGTGCAATTCCATTACAACAAAAGCAGAAAGCTTCTCTGAAAACCTGGGTTATGTTGCAGTTCACTCCCATTTTGTTCTAAGCTTAAGAATGTTCCCCTCCCCTGTTGCTTTCTCTTCCTCTTTATCAGTTCATTCAGCTGTCAGTTCATCTCCTTTCTCTACCCAATACAACCACCATTTTCTGCAGGCCCTGTTCTCTGCACTCCATCCCAGGGTGGCTCCTTTCATCCCTCCTCATCCTCATGTTTCTTGGGTGAAAATTTGTGCAACTCTCGCTTCCTGCCCAGATCTTTGTGGTCACAGCTGCAATGACTTCTGACGGAGTAAAGCAGACTTCTTCACAAGCGAGGTGATGGAACGGCTGCGCAGAAAACAACTGCAATGGGGGAGATGCAGGGGGGCTATAAACCAGCCCAGCACAGACCCTCAAGTCAAGGCCAGAAGTGCCTGACAAAGTAACATGATTAATGCAGGACACCAGCTCAAATACATTATTTCTACTCCGAAACAGTTCTTCTCAGACGTACGATAATGCTACTCTCCTTTAATGAAAAAGAAGCATTTAATTTAATAATTCTGCTATCCCAGAAAGACAAGCAGATACTGTTCCCTTTTTTATCACTATGGCAACTCTCTAAGATACTGGAATCTATTACCGAGTGCGGATAGGAAATAGGGTTTTCACTCTGCTCTCACAAGCCAAAGAATGTACAAACTTCCAAGCTGAAAACAGAAAAACTTAAATCTTTGTTTAGCTGACTTGGAC